AAAAAGGAGAAAAAAGTTAATCAGTAGGAGAACCACTTGTTAAATGGAAATGGCCAGCACTGAGCACTAAGTTACCAGCTCCCCACAAGCATCCAGTCTACTAAAAAATTCATAAAGAGACAGATGGCACAACAGCAGCTCTTTGCAGGAGAGCAGGGTTTAGCGGTGAACAAAGGACTTTGACTCCTTAGGACAAGAGGAGCAATCATTGTGGGTTTTGGAGGCTTGGAAGGGGGGACTGGTGCACATGGGGAGCTGAGAGGGGCTGCATCTATCTGCAGCTCCTACTTTCGCTCCATAGCAGCAGGTTTGAGACATTTATTCTACTCTGGCAGGCATACAAGGAGGAAGGAGAATAGAATACAAGTGATCCAACACTGCTGTGTATTGGAAATGCTCCTTGCAGTAGAAATCTGAGGGAAAGGAAAGAATTAAGATAAAAAATAAAAGAGCCCTCCTATTTGCATAGCTAGGCAGCTGCTGGCACTTGGCATTAATGGGGAAACTGAGGCACAGAGTTGTGCAGTTTGCTTAAGATGATGGGACAATTGTCAGTGGGAATTTGATAGAAGCTGTTCATGCAGTTCTGCTTTTAAGTGTTATCTTTTCCCTTAAGGGTATCTCATAAAGTCCTTTTTGGATGATTGACATAAAGAGGCAAAAAGAGCCAAAGCCTGTACTTTTTTCAAGCCAGATCCTTCAGGAAGATGGGAATGACAATGAAAGCCAAGCTGTAGGGTGGGCAGGGGAACACAATGCAAGAAGACATAAAGCCCAGTGCTATGAGTGTGGACATTTCATGCAGAGCACTTTAACACACAGCATGAAAACTACAGTGGCATAGTCAGAATATTTATATGCCTGGCAAGGGATGTATTTCCTGAAGTGAGTTTTAGTGCTTGTGAAATGTGCCAGACAGCCAGCCTGGGAGAGTTCAGCCCTCTGTTTATCTGTACAGCAGGTAGAGCACGAGTATCAGCAGGGAAGAAAACCTCCATCCGTGCTGCCCTGCTTCTGTGCTGAAGGGAAGACCCCCATGCTGCAAGTCTGTAATCCAGTCTCTGTGGCTTCTTGTAGAGATGCTAACAAGCATGCCAGCTGTGTTCGTGATTTGGGGTGTTTCTTTAAAAATGGTAATAAAAAGGCCTAAATATTTACAGCATGAGCCAGCTGACCAATCCTGTATCTCCCCATCTACCAAACTCACCATGCCAAGGGCTCAGCTGGTGCACATCCTTGCCACGCTGCCAACCCAGCTGCAGGTCTGGCCCCACGCCTCACCCACTGGCTAATGCATGTCTCAACCCAAGGTACACCCCAGCAGCTCACCCCAACCCCATCCATTACAGCAGCCCTTGCCCCTCAATTGCAATAACTAGAAGTGGAAACAAAAACCACCTGATACTCTGCAGGGCAATGAAGAGAAGCATGGGTAAACTTCAGCAGGGATCGAACCTAGCATCTTATTCCCGAAGCATATCTGACCTGAATGACCTCTCTCCAACCAGTTTGAAGATAGAGCAGAACCCCAGAGCCTTCGTGCAGCACAGAGCTCACACTCACGTGTTGCAGCACTGCTCCAAGTAATTCCACTGCTGTAACAGAAAAGACTGTCCCGTGCCAATTACACTCCATTGTTTCAAGTGAATTAATTTTTTTTTCTTAATTAAGTAGAAATTTCTCTTGACAATTCATCTATTATTAGAAGCAAAAGTAATAATAAGCAAATAAACTGATCAACCAAAAAAGCCACCCAATTCTCTCCAGAACCCCGGAGGCTGTAAGTCAATGGTAGCTTCTGCAATCTAGAAAAAGCACTGTGAGTAAAAAGCAGACAAATCACCTGCTCTACAGGACTTAAATCTGAAGGAAACAAAGTGTTAAAAAACACAGCTATCCAACTTGCATCTGCTGGGTGGGTAATTTACATCCAGACCTGTACAACTCACCTGAAATGACAAAGTCTGTAATGAAATGAGGAATTCATTTGCAGTTTTCCTGGCCTTTTCATCATGTGACCAAATTGCTTTCATTTGCATCGCAGGGGGAAAAGCAGCAAATTAAATGACTACAAGAGTGACAAAATATAGCTTTCATTTGGGAAGTATCATACAGAAATGAATTACCCTTCTACGTCACTCTCAACTACACCCCATCCAATTCATATCACTGCCTACAAATTCAGAGAAAAAAAAAAGTTAGCAGGAAAAGATCAGATTGACTGCTATGAATGATGAGAAGTGTTGAGAATTGTCGAAATGTTGGGAAATATTGGTGGTAGGTGGATGGTTGGACTGGGTGACCTTGGAGGTCCTTCCCAACCATGGTGATTCCATGAGAAGAACCACTTCAGCCACAAAGAAAACAATCTGTAGTCCCAAAATTATGACTACCACAGATATTAACTTCAAAAATGAAGTGGAAGAAAAAAGGAATTTGGATCACTGGGAATTCACCACTAGGATTCATTGAGAGAACACACCAGAACCAGCTTAGCTCTGCTGAATTTTGACCTCCTACATAAATTCCAAGCTTGCCCTAACATTTTGAAACATGATTGTGGCCCTTAAGATCTAAAAAAGTTGCAGCCCATATTTTGGGAACATTTCTGGACTAAAGATCCATCGTTATTTTCCTGCATGTGTTCCAGTGGTCCTCCCAGTCTGAAGCTCCAGTGCCAGAACATCTGCAGTAGCAGCATGGGAGGATCTGAACTGCGTCAGTGCAGAGGAGGTGGTTGGAGCCCGACCTGAGTTACACTGGAATTCTGGATCAGAAGAAGGTTGCAGGAACACAGACACTGCAGTGCATCTCAAAGACAGCTGCCAGCAGGAGAGGGCACGTGGCAAATGTCAGTGGAGAAGCTCCATTTCATATAATGTAAGCATTCGTTTCCAAGAGCAAAAGAAAAAATTAACTGCAAGGGCCTTAGGATCTAAATCTAGTCTGCAGAGCAAAGGTCGCTGCAGAAATGTTTTATTCAGCATGAAAACTTTTGGAATTCATTCAAAGAGTAGGGGAAAAAAAAGCACAACAGCATGGCTGAGTGTTTTTTTTTTTTCTTAACTGAACTATTTCTTCCTTTCTAAAGAGGGACACAGCTTGCATGGTTTGGCAAACACAACTGAGTTGTGTCTCCCTGCAGTAAGGAGCAGGTAAACCAGCACAGCATCAGCCTCTGAAAACACAACAAGTGAGGGAAAGGGAAGAGGAACCAACAAAGGGGGAAAATTTGCTAAGTCTGATGCTTTCGTTCATCACAACATCAGCTGGGAGATTACAACTACACTGATGTAGGGCCTTAGTCAGCCCAGCAAGGGTTGCAGTGTGCATCTCTGGCACGGTCAGAAGGGCTCTGTCCTGTGCTGTGGAGGGAACCTGCCTGCCCCACTACTTTTACAGTAGAGTAGCTTGGAGATTAGCAATTAACAACATAAAACACAAAACCCAACAACAAAAACACACCCACGTTGCAGTTTCTTTTCTGGCTTCACTTCCACCATATCCACAGGTCTCCAATCCCCACAGAAAGCATCAGATCCCATATTTTGTATGGGAACGGACGGCCCTGGCTCAAGATGAGAAGTTCAGCTGGTGGTAGGAACCACCTCCCTACCTCCTTTGTGGTTAACTGCCCAAACCCATTCACCAGGCCTTTGTCCAAGGCCACGCTGCTTCTCCAGCAGTGAGACAAGCTTCACAGAATTCAGACTTCAAATGGGAAGATTCCCAAGTGCAGATTCATACCAGATTCAGTCTTTACCTTTAAGATAGCCCGAAGTTTGCTGGAAAACTCATATGATAACATCATCTTGACCTTTCCTATCTGCTGTTAGTTGGGACATGGTCCCACCACCACCCCCATGCACAGACAGCTAAGTTGGCTGGCGGCAGCTTTGGCCCATGACTTTGGCTTACAACTTGTAGTGTAGAATAATAAAAGGAGAACAGTGGAGTCCAGGAGTGGGAGCAACTCCACCACAGCACCGAACAAACTACATTAACTCCCCAATGGAAAAGTGGAGGAGATAATTGTAGACCTTCCTTCAATCCAGCTTGACCATTCTGGATGCCAGGTCAAATTCACAATAAATATTATGACAAATAACACCTATCAGAATGTAGGCAGGTGATGCCAAACACATACAGACACAGAAAATGATTCTGAGTCAGTCCATCCCAGCATCAGCTCTGCTCAGGCCCCTGATGCCAGCTGCTCCAGGGAGAAGAAACTCTTTAAAACAGTTACCATAGAAAAATCCGTATGGGGAAAAAGGTTTCTTCCCACCTTGTCTTATTTACTATTTTCCTTCTTGAAATCTTGGATTACAAGAGCTCTGTTACTCTTTAATTTTTTTTTTCCCTTTTCACTTTGCTGAACTCCAAATCAAAAAATACTTTGAGTCACTGAATTCCACAGGCTGGTTTCCTCAGCTTCCACCAATACTGACAATTTTGAACGTACCAATCTGTGATTGAACAAACTGCTGCTCTCCCCATTTAAGGATTTTTTACCCAAAAACTGCAAGTAGAATCCAGGCCTGGACCTGGAACTAAGTCATATATGAAGTTGTTGCATATAAAATCACTCACAATCCCCAGACCATCTGTTTTAATCCTTGCTAACGCACTGCTTGTCTGCCTTTACCCCTTCCTTCCTCCCTGCATTTCTTGGGGAATATTGTTATGTTGTGAAAGAATGCTGTTGAAGCTGCCAGGCTGCTCCCAGCTTTATCCTCTCCATGATCCGTTTGGACACATAACTGGTGAGCAGGAAATACTCCAGATACATCCACAGAATTCTTAACTGCAACAAAAATGGGGCACGTGGAACATAACTGAGAAACTGAATTCCATTTCGTCCAAGCCCAGGTGGACCAGAAGTGACCAGGTTTTAATGATAACAAAGCACAGGTATCCCTAGACAGCAGACAGTGACAGAACCATCAATCCCTACACACAGGAGTCACTTTGTGGAAAAATAAGGAATCCTTTCCTACCTGTCGATGATCACGGGGTCCGATGGAGTCTCGTTTCTGTTGCCACAACTCTTCTTCTCGCAGCACCGACTAAAGAGAGGAAGAAAACCAAGACTGAAAGACCACTACGACATCTGGTAGGCAAAGCAATGAGCTCCAAGTCTCCTCCAAGAAGCTTCAGGACTCAACATGCACCTGGAAGAGCAACTGAGAGATTTCTGGCTACGGTTATGAAGGGAGAAGAGCTACAAGAAGTGGGCGCCCAAATCCCAGTCGGTTTTGGCTGGAGCTGGGCAGTCAGCTCCCTTCCATCTGCTCCAGCATCCCCAAGGCAAACACAAAGTGGTCACACTAAGGCAGCACTTACAGAAGACTTATAAATGATTCACAGATGTCAACACGACATTACAGACATTAATATCACACGTTTTGTACAGTCAATCCATCCAAAGGTGTTCAGCCCGACTATGAGAAAACAATTTCTTACATTTCAATAACCAAACTGTTGTTCACTCAATACCTACAAATTTATTAGAATCTATGCTTACCAAAAAAAAAGCTTCAGCAATACAGTTGGGTCACACTGAGGATCTAAAGAGATCGCTGACATTGGCATTTGTCTGTAAATCCCCTTGCCATGGGCTCAGTGATGAGCCCTTCCAATCAATCCTGAATTTACACACCTTTCATACTGAGCAGCCACCTGCAGGACTGCATAAAAGTGATAACCCTCTCTGATGAAAGCAACATGAATAAAGCAAATCCAGGGAAGGGACAGAAATGCTGCATTGACTTTCCTTTAAAAAAAAAATAATAATAATTAAAAAAATTAACAAAGAGCCAGTTCATTGCTTGATTTGCATGGACGTTCCCATTGATGCAAATGGTGTCCCTGGCACTTACCATCTATATAAACAAAATGAGTGTGCTCTGAATGACTCTGTTTTAAACATTTGTCTTAGAGCAGCACTAGAACCCATTGAAGTTTTAAGGATCCACTCATTTGTTCTGAACCCCCACATCTCAGAGCTACCAGATCAAATCTGAGGTTGCATTTCCATTGCTCAGGTCTTTCAAATGTACACCTATGGAACCAAGAAATATTTCTGGTTTTTCGTACAGTGGTACAATAGGTGTTGAGTATGTTCACACAATACTTGAATCATACTCAACCTAAATCCACTGCACTGTTTTAGGCATTAGAACAACTCCAAGCAGAGGAGTTAAGACAAGATGCTCGAATTCACTGAAATTGGGATAAAATATGAAAGAGCAGGTTTTTTTTCTTTTACATGAATATTCAACTCTAATACTTAAAATAAGCACTCAGACCAAAAAAAAAACCCCCACACCTCTTGTGGGTATGGAAACTATTCAAGTGGGAGTGTTTTCTCCATGAGTTACAGTGCAGCAGGATCTTCCATTCGCGTGCTGGGCACGACGAGATCCAACGGAGCCATGTGAACAGCAGCTCTCCCCATTCCAACATCTCTACACGTTCCCCTTACCCCAAACCTGCACTTACTCATCGATGCCAGTCCTTTTAAAATAAAAGGAGATGCTAAATATTTAAAAATCCCTGGGGCAGAGCCTGGGGCTGCTGTAAATTGTCATAGCTCCATCGGCTTCGGTGCACCTATGGTAATTCATGCTAGCTAGGAGTTTCTCCAATCCCTCCTCCTCTCAACTTTGCTTTATTTAAGTGCATCTTTAATGCAGTTCTCTGCCAAATGATTGTTTATATAGAATTGCCTCTTTTTTTTTCCTTCGTGCTAAAAAGACAGCAGAAAACAGTAGCTCAGAGGAACATAAATTTGCCATGACTTTTGACATGCCCAGTGTTAAAATGCATTGGAAATCACACTGGGAACAAAACGCCTTCTGGTTCCTGTGCTGCTCCAATAAAACAAGAGAAAGTATTTCCAAAAAATATTGAGTTCAACTTTTTTTTTTTTTTAGCAGACATTTCGTCTGCCTGCAGCAATGCTACGTGAGGGATCCTTTAGCCATGGAACTTATGCAGATGGTCGTAACAAAAGTATATTTGATAGCCCTACGCCACAGCATTGTCTGGGCAGAATAAACCAGCAGCACATTTGTCCATCTCATCCCCTATGCCATGTGCTGGCGTAGTGTTTAGGATGAATTATGTGAGATCAGAGTGCAGCAGGGCTGGGTTCTGTAATAAGTGCATCTTGTCTTATTGCATAGCTGGCACAGCTATCAGAGATCGGGAACAATACGTTTAAGTAATACTTCAAACTTCTTCCTTCTAAAACCACGGCTCATGGCTAAAGTTTTCCAAATATTTCGCCAATATCTACATGCTTATCACTACCCTCATAGCAGATCTTTGCCACCCCTGAGCCATCCGTACTTCTGAGGCCACAACAAACACAAAGATGCAGAGCAGTCGCTCCTTCCCAGCGATGGACCAGTGCAGAGGTCCATCAGAGCACCTCATGAGGACTAAGGGAGTCTGAGCCTGAAGGTTTAGCAGACGTATCTCTCAGATCTTTCAACCCCAAATCTCCAAATATTTCATTGCTGCACCTGACTCCTAAAGCTGCACGGGGTTTGTTTCACATGTGCTGCCGAACAGAATCGACTCCTTCCAATTTCAGTCAATGGCAAAAATCCCAAATTCTGGTGGGTCCAAGACCGAGCCTACAGGACTATCCTGGAATGGATTATTGCTGAAATATGCCAACACTTCAGCTTCTGCTTCCACACTGCTTTAGGGACATACCTTTACAGGTGTTCATTTCCTTAAAGCAAGGATATTAAGGACCAAAGATTTCTTTCCTACACATTTTCCATTGCAGCGCTTTCCTATTTAACTTCTTCTGTGGTTTTCAGTACCAACAGCCCTGAAAACAAAACTACAAGCAAACACAGAACCCAAAAACTCTTGCAAGCAGCACCAGACCCCACAACCCCATAGGGTTCATCTCAGAGGCAAACTTGCAAACTTACACCCTTCTCCCCCCCCAGGAAAAAACTTGACTAAAATGCTTTTAAAATTCAACCCTCAACTTCCCAACCCCACCTCCTCGCCCCCCCCCAAAAAAAAATCTGTCTCTAATTTCAAACTCAAATAAGCTCGCAGCATGGTGGCCTTTGTTTTGTTTTCTTCTCCCCAACTCCTCCCTGCAATTGCATAACAAAAGTGTCTAAATTCACACCATCTGGCCGATAAAGCCACGGGCCCCAGCGGCCGCCTGGCCCAGCTGATTAGAGCTGCTGTCTGCTCCGAGCCTTGTGGCGAAAGTCACAGCTGTGGGGCTCGCTTGCGCTCAATGCAGCTCTGTTATTAGCCAGCTGTAGACCCTGAGACTACTTCTGTTCGAATTATAATACCTTTTAACCCTCTGAGCATTGAGGGCGTAGGGGAGGGCTTGCCGGCTTCCTCCGGGTTGGTAATTGGGAGAAGAAATGAAAAGAAAAGGACAGGAAAAAAAAGTTATTCTGGGAGAGGGGAGCTTTGATTTCCATCTACCACCCGTTTGGGAGACATGCGCCCAATGGAACAGGCTGTAATGACCCAAATGGGGGGAAAAAATAAAACCTCCTTCAGATCGGCCAATAAATAAGTAATAAAACCTCTCCCTCTCGCGGAAAGCGCTAATTATTGGAGCTGAGAGCTTAACTTCCAATGGGTATGAAATGGGTATGACAGATCGGCGCAGCCGTATCAATATTGAGACAACCCCGCTGCTCAGCACACATCTGTCACTGTCTGAGTGGGAGATGTGGAGCTTCGGGTGCACTCATCTCTATGCAGCAAAAAAATACGTCTGCGTTGTGAACATATATAAAAAATATGAAAAAATAGAAAAAAAAAAGAAAAAGAGCCTACCTTCAACTAGCAGGGATGGGAAGGAGGGGAGCAGGCAGCCAGACAGACCCTTCTTTATAAAAACAGTAGGCATCAATTTGGACAGCAGAGCGGGTACAGTGCATTAAATTTTTATATACAGTTACGATTGCAAGCCGAACTGGGGCTTTAAAAATTGATGCTGCCACTTAAGCAGCACACAATGAGGAACATTTGATTATCGCACTTAAAAAGAAAGAAAATGAAATGTCAGGTTTAAGTGGAGTCTGATCCGTTCCCTGGGCGTTACGCAAAGCGATGGGCGTCAGGCCTTGCTGGGACAGCAGCACGCTTCAGGAAAACAAGACCTTTAAAGTGGAACGTCTTGATGAGGACACGAGGCACGGAATGAGAAGTGCTTCGTGTGGAAAGGCCGCCCCGAGTTGTAATTCTTCCTCGGCTAATTGATCAAGCTGGAAAGTTGAGTGTAATCTGAATGACTGTTTGTGTTTTAGGATGGTAGCTGAAATCCAGCCCTGGATGTGCTTCCAGGCACCAGCACAGGCCAGGTGTGTAAAGAGATGAACAGAGTTTCACACTTGGAAACCATGGAGAAGAAGCACAGAAGGAAAAGAAACTCCTTTTCATTTAAAGAAGTGCATCTGAGGGGACGGCGTCGGCTGAGATAATTTAAGTTCTGGAACAGAACCTGTCTGCAAAGAGGAAAAGCAGATAAAGGCCAAGTGTGCCAATGTGATTTGATAGCACAGAAACCACGAGGCTGTTCCTTCTGTGTCTCTCACCCAGCACAAGTGGACTTTCACAAGCAGTGAAAGCACGAGTGTACAAACGTGTGCACAAGTTCTCGGTGTGCCGGAAGGGAACAGTGGGTTTTTGCTGCTGCATCTCTTTGCAGAGCACACACTGTGCATCTCACAATGCTGATGGAAAGCAACAACGCTCATCTTAAATAGTGGGAGAAAAACAGGCGCTGTGTTTTTATGCGATTCTTATTCTACTTGCACCAACTATTCCTCTTCCTTTAAGCACTGAGACCTTCTCTGAACAAGGAGTCGGCCCAAACACGTCGCTTTTACCACTCTATTAATAGTCACTAATAAAAAAAATAGCCTGTAAAAAAAAAATAATAAATAAAGGCTATTAATATCCCTAATAGTCAGGAGACTATTTTACAACGTGGCCACCAGCAGCACGCAGAGCAGTGACCTCACCACCCCACCAATGCCATCCATCACACAGCGCCTTCGGTGCAGGCTAAGGTGGGTTTTGCTTTTCATTTCACGTAAGAACACCATGCAGAATTTAATGTATTTTAATCTAAGAGCGTTGGCTGTTTGCATCGTTGTATTTATTGGAAAAACCCTAATGATGTGAGAACAGGGTAAGTAATAAGTTGCCATGGAAGTATGATGTAAGTATATAAGGTACATGCAAAAAGGGTTACAAAAATGATATTAAAAACATCCTCATGTCACCCTCTAATTTATAACATTAAAAAAGACCCAATTTTCACATGTAATTAAAAGACACAAACCCTTTAAGTATGGCTTACAAAGTATAGGAAGGATTTGGGTTTTGGTTTGAGAGCTTTCTTGCCTGGATGGATTTTTTGGGAAGGAGAACAGCTAAGCAAAATTAAAGAATGTCGATTCTGTTAATTTAATAAGTTAAAATAACGCAAAGGAAAGGCTTGTATAAGAAGTATTGTGACATGGAATCACTCTGACAAAAAATAAAATAAAGACAAACCCTACCTATGAGCTCATTGGCCATTTCAGCGTCGGTGCAACCACCGGCCACGAACAGAAGCATCTTACCTGCACATGACTTCATGGGTGAGCAGCACTCTGCACATCTCAGGGTTCTTGTTCTGTCCTTCGTAAGTTATGGGCTACAAAAATGAAGACAAGGGGTCAGCAGGCAGCATTTGGGCGCCACTTCATTCTGATCACAGCCAAACTGGAGCTGCTTTTTTCTACTTTTCACCACGGTTTGCAAACAGACGCCTTCCCCAAAAGCCTTTTGGAACAGGAGGGCAGCTTATACAGGAATACTGGTAAGGAGTGGATAGGAGCTTGTAACACACAGAGGGGAAAAAAGTAAAACAAGAATGACATAAAAACATAAAAGTTTATTAGCAAATAAAACGCCAAGGAGACAAAACCAAACAAGAGCACGGATAAATGGGGTGGGGGCGTTTGAGCCACGCTCACCTGCTTGGTGACGGAATCAATGAGTCTGACATACAGATCCTGTTCAGTCCTGACACCTACAGCGAGACAGGAGCGATTAGCGCCGACACGTCCGTCACAGCGCAGCACAACACGCGGCACTTTAACGGAGCCCCATTAAACGCCGCTGGGTTTCGTTTCCTGCAGTTCCCTCCCCAAAGCCACCGACGCACAGCAGAGCTCAGCCCGACGACGAGGGGATGCTACGGAAGGGAACCCCAATGGGTTTCCGCTGTCTTTCAGAAAGCACAGCGGCAGCGCTTGCAAATCCCGCCCGGGTTCATTGCCTGCGGGAGGAGCAGCGGAGCGCACTCACCGTTGCTGTACAGGAGCTGCAGTTTGTAATGCGTGCCGTTGTTGGTCTTTTCGTTGCCTTGCTCCTGCAAGAGAATCAAAACTCAGTTCTGCAACAACTTATCGGGCGCATCGCAAACGCGAGAGCTGATCATTGCTGTGGGAGCCAAAATGGAGTGCATTAAAGTGGTGAATTCAGTAACTGGGATAAATTCACCTCCTGACCGACCAGGAGGAACTACAAAATACCGCCGGCATCTCCTTCTGTGGGAGTTCAAGAACTTCTTTTCCTCTCTTAGTCGCTATTACGCTCTCAAGGCAATACAGCACGCGATGGAGGGGGACGCTTTGAGGCAGTTAACATCAAGCAGATTGATAGCAGAAATGCTCGGTGGTTTTTCTTGCTTTAAATGTGTTCGATTACTTGGCAGCGCTGTCACTACTGATACTTATTTCCCGCAGGTTACTTTACAGTGTTTTCTTTCCTTTTTCCCCCTTCATTCCCTAGAAGACGTACATCTCTGAGCACATTTTCCAATCACAATCATCTTTTCCACAACTCAGAAAAGTGATCGTAAAATCAACAGCACGAAGCGACGCAAAATACTTCACGTGCGGATTTAAAGCACAAAAGCAAATGCTTTTCCAGCCCTGCCACCGACTGTGGAGCCTTGAGAAGCACACAGCACTGCGGATGACAGGATGTAATTCAGGTCACATCCCGCTCCTGTTGGGGAACTAATAAAACTTGGCTGCTCCGGTGGAATTAATCAAAGTAAAAAAGGATTTGTGTCGCCCCCCCCCCCCACCACCTCTCTCCCCAAATGAAAATTTTTATTCTGTTTTTAGATAATGTAGGAAACTCCCATTGTGCTGCTGGTGCTGTGGGGGCTTGAAAGCTTTGCAGCCCCAGCAGCCCTTCCAAACACCTGAACCCTTCCCCAAGAGCCGGCCGCGCGGTGCCGGGTGATACAACAGGTATTCAGTCTAAAGAGAGAAAAGAAAGATAAGCGGCCTTACTTTATCGTTTTCTACAAAGTCCACAAAAGCCGTCCTCTCTATTTCCACGGGCTGCCCTTGTCTGTCGTAGAGCGCCAGAACGAAGTGAAAGAAATTGGATTTCCTCAAGTTGGAGGGCGGCTGCTTCTCAAAGTGGGCTCTGGACAGAGCTACGCCGCTGTGGAGGAAACACACGGGACGGGGTGAGGGGAGAAACAAAGAGGTCGTGCACAGCAAAAGCCAGACGGGGCAGGAGGAGCTCGGGGAGCCCCGGAGCGCCCAGCGGAGCGGGATGCCCGGCGAGGTGAGAACAGCCGCTCGGCTGCGGCTCCGAGGCAGCGCGGGGAAAGGGCTCTGCCCTATTCGGAGCCACTGGGGCACTCGCAGCCCCGCGCATCCGAGCTGTGCTCGGAGGACGAAAAGAATTCGCAAGAAATAATTTTTAAAAATTGCTGGACGCAATAGTTGTTTTCCTGCCTCTCCTCTACTCGTTTTTCTGCTGGATGCAATAGTACTTTTCCTGACAAACTCTACCCTTTGCTTTCCTGCTGGACGCAATAGTTGCTTTCCTGCCTCCTTTACCCGTTTTCCTCCCGGCTGTCACATTTCTGCCCCCCGAAGTGGGAAGTGCAGACAGCACAGCGCTTCCAGGCTCTCTGATGGCCGCACAGCCCACCCTCGTTTGCTTCTCCTGCAGAACACAAACGAACTGAAAGCGGTTCCTACGAGCGGACCGACCGCCCGAGGACACTCCGGAGAGAGGCAGCCCGTTCCGGCACAACATCTGCCTTGCTCAGCAGCGAAGTTTGTCACGGAGTCTTTAATGACGGACCTCGCAGTGCTGCTCGGCTCTTCTGAATTAAACAGAGGGGATCCGGGTTCGTTTGCCCCTTCCCTCATCTTCCCCACCGACCGCGGAAAAAGCGGCGATGTTTCCCAGCTCGGGATGCTGGAAACGCTTTTGTGTCGCCGCAACACCGCGAGCTGCGTTGGGCAGCGAAATGGGTCACAACTCCCTCTCCAAAACACGGCGCAAAGGGATGCAGAGCAGCACCTCGCAGCACCGAACGCACGGGTTAAATCTAACAGCCGGACGAGCCCGGAGTCAGAACCGTTCAATTTTCAGCCTTCAGAGCTGTGCTGGCAAAAAACATTCGACTCTTTCGCAGAACTGCAGATGTTTTCCTGCCTTTTCCATTGCCAAATAGGTTCGGTGTGAACTCACCGCATCCGCCACAACTGCGCCCACTTTGGGGCTTTGATTTCTCGCTTCGTTACCGCTCTCAAAAATAACCCAGCTCTACTCAGCCCCCCTCCCCCAAACCCCGTGCGACCGCTGCCGCGAATTGGAGGCTCCAAAGGAACAGTTTCCTTTTCCTTTCGCTTTCCCCGTGGATGGTGACGGTTTAATAAACGTCTCCCCCCTTCACACCGCTTATTAAACCATCTATCGACATTTACAAAACTCCGATAACTCCTCCCATGGTGCTCAGAAAACCTCGCTCACGGATCGGGCCGTGGCTGTGCTGTTTCTGAAAGGTCCCTCTCTCGTTTTGGAGTCCCATCCACTGCCCTTCGCTTTGCCTCTGTATGAAATAAAACCCAACCTACTCGGGGGGCTGATTCAGTCTTCCCCTCCCGTTTGTGTACCCAGAGAGTGATGAGAGAAAGATATAGATGTTAGTTAAAAGAGTTTTTATCATCTCGTCCTAGAAGGGAAAAGAGCGGAGCAGCGGTCCTGCACCAACTTGGCTGGAGAGAGGCTTAAAATAAAATAAAATAAAATAAATGGGACAAGGTGGTGCGCGGGGGATGATGCTAAATACTAAACTGACCAAAGCAAGAAATAATTGAACAAAGCCAAGGGCCAAAGCACAGGCGAGGTGCGAGCAGTGGGAGCGCGGCGTGCCGTGCTGTTACCGCTCCCCGCATCCACGGGTTAACATTTCGCCGGCGCTCACGGTAGCGACAGACACTTGAATTAAGTAAAACAAGATGGGACGAGGGGAGGGAGGAGGGTTGAGGAGATCTGCGTTTGAGTTGATCTTTAAACGTGGGCTGCTCCTGTTCTGCTGCGTGGCTCGGAAAGTGGGAAGGAGTCGTTGGTATCGCTGGAAGAAGAGATTCCCTCTGACACTGCTCGTGTGTAGAGCAAAAAAAGAGGTGGGGAACGAGCCGATGTCTGATATCTGAGCTGCAGTGGAACTGAGGAGTCCTGATGCTCTCCTGTGTCCCCATCTCTGCCTGTACTGAACCCTCACTGACAAGAGAAGTCTGAGGGGGAAAGAGGGGGGTGGGGGGACAGGAAGGGAGAAAATCAATTTGATATCAAATGCAAATAAGAGAGAGGAAAGAAAAGGCTGCTTCAGAAATTGGGGAATAAAGGAAAAGAAAAGAAGAGGGAAGAAGGGGAAGAAAACCGCTCCGGTTACCTTTGTGCTGCTACATTTGCATCCACAACCCCAACGTTTCTGACCCAGGACCTGACGGAATCCATCTCAGAACCCAGAGATTTGTCTTTCAGAATCGGTCCTCTTCCCAAAGTATCTTGGATCCCAAACATTTAAGAAGTCTATTCCAAAGAGCAACAGTTTCCTTCGGGGGGGGATCGGGGAGGAGGAAAAGAAAAAATAAGCAGCTTCTGAAAATTGACACAGACAAATCCCGGGAAAGCAGAGGACTTCAGCTTTGAAACCAACTTCAGCTTTAAGTGCTGCGTGTGTTTGAGTGCCTTCAAATGGGGGAAAAAGTTTCTCCTCTCGCAAAGTGAGTCACGCCGATTCGGTCTCTCCTGGCATCGTCATCTTCCAAACGCAGGGAATCGCATCCAGAAACCGACGGCCGTTAACAAGGATCAACCTGTTTCGAGAAACACACTGAGAGAAGGGGCTGATGGCTGCCTGATCCAGAAGGAAAAAGAAAAAAAAAGAAAAAAAAAGTATCGGGATGATTTGGGGGAGGAAAAGAAGAGCGGAGCTGCGGCGGCTGATGACACCGCGCCGGGAAGAGCCGCCGCTCCGCGCCCGGCACCATGAATGGGTTACAGCGCCGGGAGCGGGCGCGCCGGGAAGGGGGCGGGGCCTGCTGCCATATAAGGGATGCTCATTTGCATGTCGCTCTCCGATTGGACGGCTGAGAGCAGTTCCGAGCCGCTCGGCCCCGATCAACCCCCGGAGCGCGGCCGTCCCGGCGCGGGGCGAAACCGCGGCGTCCCAGCGGGCAGCGCAGCGCAGCGCAGCGCCCCGCAGGAGCGGCATCGCAGAGCAGCTGATGGCTGATGGCTGTCGGGCGCGATATTTGAAAACGACACGGCCACGCACCCCGAAACGGTCGGAGGGGGCTCTGCGTGGGGGAACGGGGCACGAGAGGCCGCCACACCCGCAGCACTCGCCGCGCGCGGGGCTGTCGGCTCGAGCCTGAATCATTCCCGGTAGAGCGGTGCAGGAAAACATCCCCCGGGAAAGGAAAGCGGAGCTGCACAGCGGGCCGCTATGGTTTTACTTTATAAAGCCGTTTGGGCTCGCTGCTATTTTCCTTCTGTGTTCTGATCTGGGCACAGATCTGCCTCCGAAATCCATATAACACCAACGCGAAAACAGATTTCAAGACAATGAATGCAAATCTGTGCTCAGAGACCATCTGCCAGATGAGGGAATCAGATGTTCGGTAGTTAAAGGGACAGCGCGAGGATTTCCTCCATTCATTATGCGCAGCTCCTCTCCAACCCGCTTTATTTTATAACGGGATGAGATTCAGACCGAAATTCAAGCAGTGTTTTCAGCTCCTGCTTCCATGTCCATTTCTCGGGGCCACCTTTGTAACACGTGTCAGACCGATACATTTTTTGCGACGTTTGATACGGCTCTCCTAAAAAAAATTATCAATAAACATCACAAATAAAACTCTTCCTGTAAGGTTCTCATAGAAACGCGCCCTTAATTCAGCCCGAAGCCGGGACTGAATTATTCTGTCCACATGAGTGACAGATATGGCAGGAGATGAACCCATCCATCCCACGCCGGCTCTGTTAAGGAGATTTACCACCCGAACCCACCTCCCCAAAGCGATCCGTGCGCAATGAGCGCTTCGAGCAGGGCAGCAGAGGGGCATTACTGAATAAAAGCAGCAGCAGTTCGGTGCTGCTACAGGGCGGCTGAGAATCCGCACCTCACGGCTCCGAGATTAAAACTTAGGAAAAGAGGTCGATCTGTTCCCAGCAAAGGTATGAGAGAATAAAACGTACAACTGAAGGGACTTTTTGTTGCCACCCCACAACGGGCACGGGTCCATCCCCTCGACTCAACCCCCCCCCTTGGTACCAGCAGCGTTTTTGGCAAAGCCACCCCGATCGTTTCCGCATCAATTCCTAAAGTCGGGGCAGGGATGGGAGGGGGCGGCGGTGGAATTCGAGCGAACCTCGGCTGATGTATTCGTAAGGAGAAAGTGTTTCCTAAGAGCCGAAGTCTCTCGCTCGCAGCGATACAGCCGAGTCCGCACCGCGTCAGAGGCGCTCCTGTCGCATTGAAGGCAGCTGCTCATTCAGCCCCAGCGAGACGCTCAGGAAAGCCCGGTGGGCTCCGGGACCGTGCCGGCTTTGGGGACAATGGGGACTCGTGTGCCGTGGCCCCGGGGGAGCGGGGCTTTTAGGGATTCATAGCGGGTCAGGGGGCAGCGGCGCGGGTCAGAGGAGACGCGCTCCCCTCGCCCCGAACAGCTGCCACCAGAATTCGGCACTTCAGGGACAAACGAGCGGAGCCGTTCCCCGGTGCCTCAGCGGGGCTGTGGCCGTGGGGCAGCCCGGGATCCCCACGCAGTGTCTGTTCCATGGGGGGGGATCGTGGGCTCAGCCCCGCACCGGGGAGAAGGGGCGATCCCGGAGGGGTGGAGGGGGATTTCCTTCACCCTCAATATAAAGTTTCTCTCCTTCACAACGTATCTCAATAATGCAGCACTTAAGCACTTCTAAATCCTGAACTCCGAGTCTGGAATCCCTACTCCGAGCAGCCGGGTTAGACACAGTTCACAGAAAGCAAATCCCTCAGCCTCTCCCGCTGTAAGCGCTCCAAGCGAAATCAGCATTGACATCGGTGCAGCCGCAGCGGATCGCCTAAGGGAGCCCGTTCCAGCGGCAAGCGACAGGTAAACGGCACCACGAACAGCGTGACGGAGGAGAGCTTGGGGGAGGAGGATGGGGGAAACAAACAGAAAGCTTTTCTTAAACAGACGAAAGCCTCGAGAGCCCATCTCCACCGCGCAACTCCACTCTACAACTCGCTCCAAAGAGAATTTAGAGGCAGAAGCGAGTGCGAGGCTCGGGGAGGGCAGCCCGGGGTGGGGAATGGAGCCGCGCAGCCCCCATAGGAGAACCCCAACCCAATTCAGGAATCGCCCGGAGCGCTCCTGTTCCTCATCCTAAGGAGGAAGAGAGGAAGAAAAAAGCGACAGTTCGGGGAGCGCTGATCGTTTCCTTCTGACTCTTCTTGGTGCCGCACGCCGGGCTCAGTGGGACAGGTGAGCCCTGCTTGGATGCGGTAAAGCAAGATGCTCGCCTTCCTCGAGAGATTTTAGGCACCAGAATCAACTTTCACCACGCCTTAGGAGCTCCCAGGAGGAAGGAAAGAATTATCTTCAATATATACATAACTCCTTGAAAGCATAACCTTAAAACTCCTATTATTTCCTCCCTTTCCTTTATGGCGAAAAAGTGAAGGAGGAAAGTCAGGCTACGGCCAATGAAGGCACTGAGACGGAAGCACTTCGTTCTCGCTCTTGAATTCGTGAGAGTTCCGAATCCTTCAGGTGCCCCAAGGGAACAAATCGTAGGTTAAAATTATCAGTGTCAGAGGGGAAAGGAAAATTCCCCCTTTCCTCTCGCCCGGCAATCTCAGCGAGTTTCATTCACAACCGCACCAGAAAAATCAACGCCCCTGTTGACAAACACTTCACATTTAAGCCCTTCACAAAGCAAGCTGCTCGCATGCAAACACGCAGCCGTGGTTTTGAAAGCACGCAACGGTATTTGAGAAACGAAGAGCTCCCCGATTCCCGGAGCCCAACAGCAGAGCCAAGAACGCCATGGGAGCACAGGGTGCCGAGAAGCAATGGGAGCTGGCGATGCTGACTCGGGTCTGAAGGGCACGGGGCACTGCATCAGCACAGCTCTGCTTTGCACGGCTGCTCCGATTCAGTGTAACCCTCGTTTACAGGATGGCCCATTTCACCGCGATAGGAATGTCTGGAGTAAGGAGGACAGCCTATTAAAATGTTCAATACAAGAGGTTTAAAACAGTGCAGGTGGGTGCAACTAAATCACAAACACAGGCTGGGCTCTTAACTGGGAATGCTGTGTGCAAGACAGGGCTGTAAAAACACGGTGCTCTGGTTACATCCATTCTAGAACCTTTTGTTTGCTCTAAGTTCTGCTTTATCTCAGGAGCAGAATGCTTGATTTGATGGCTGGAAAAAGTTCCATCTCCAAATATAGGATTGCTCTCTGTTCCTCCTCCCTGGGCTGCTTGGAAGCATTCAGAAGTAAAGTTCCACAGCTGTCAGATCCTGAGCTGTACCCTCGTGCCATACAGGTAATGCCAACAGAACCATCTCTCCCTGCAGATCAGTGCAAGTCTGGGAGGTGCACAAATCACATTTATAAGCATGAACAAAAGAATGCTTTCCAACTTACAAATGCATAACTAAGCATTTAATAGAACTTCTCCTCCATCTCATCTTTCCCAAAAGAGAAAATATTGTAACCATCACATCCTCCTTCCAGTCTCCCATTCATTCCAGTAAGTAGGTGCTTTTCTCACCAGAACAGAAAAGCACATCTGCTACGTTTTACATCCAGCTTTTTAGGATACTTTTACTGCCTTTTGCCTAGCATAGCTTTTGGAACACGTTAGCAAATAATATTTTACCATCGGGAGTGTACGTTCCATTTTATTTTATAATGCAGCCTCAGAAGCCTCGGCGCAGAGTTTGTTTTTCTAAGCACGCGGAGCCTCAAACCAACAAGCACACAGGGGAAGAACACTTCAGGTGGGTGCATATTCGTGCTGGAAGTCTCCCTCATCTTCCAGCTTATGGAAAACAATTAAGGTCAGCTTTCAATGTGTCTTAGGATATCAATGACCCATATTGATCCTCGACTCAAGAAGCAGAATTTGGGTTATCAGAGCATTTGTAGTTCCACCGCACACACACTGCGTGACACAGCTCCAGCTGGGAAATCCATCCTCCATACGAAACCAGACAAACGCAGACACACTGAAGAGCAGAATCACATCCAGTCATTAACACGAGCCTAAAGCAGCCCCCAGTCCTACAAACATTCTTATCCTTAACCTGTATTACCCACCAGAGTGGTCTTACAAGAATTACTCAACGATGCACACATCCTTAACCATCTGTACAGCACGGGCCTCCTTTTTATTTCTCGACTCAACTCAGTGCTGTCTTAAACAGGTGTGTAGTTCCAGTTACATGAAAACTCAATCTGAAGCCATGCCATGGGGACGCTGCCTACTGATTTCCCTTCCTTAAGCCCCTCGCTGGATGATAATTTGATTTTTTTCCCCGTGTTTCAAAATATAAAGAACTGTGAACACAACTTTTTGCAGGAGGAACCTGAACCCAATGAGTGAAAAAACTCACTTACCGAGATTCTGAATCTGGCTGGGGGTTATTGGTGCTGCCATCACACAAATTACCAGGATGGAGAAGATCTCCCTTGGGGACGGTCAATAATCAAAACATCTGCCTCCACGCCTCCTTCTAAAGCATCTGGTACTTGAAGCTAAGATATAACATACAAGAAGCTTAATCTAATCTGACTAGTCCTATGTTCTTTCCATAAGGCAAGAAGGAAGTAGTTAGAAGCTCAGTATATCATAATTAGAGCTTCACAACCTTGGAGAGACAGCTCTGCTCTTCTCTGAAGTGTATTTAATGATTTGAAGAGTGTTGCAGTGTTTTCTTCTTGATTTGGTGGAACTGAACCACTGCACTCCTGGGCTCCTCCCTCAGCAAACCACATTTCAGCAGCTGCCGGTCTGTGTGACCAGATTCTGATCCTGCAAATGTTTGCACTTTAACACAGGCAGTGAGGATCCACAGCACCCATGGCTCACAATAGATTCCTGCAGGGTCAGGGTCCCACAGCTCTGAGCTTCCATTTTTTGGGAGTTCATTCTGACTCATTGGCACCTACCTCCATCCCAGACCCTTCCTAGGGGAAGGAGCAATCTGCCATGAGTTTTACACCCTCTGTGCTATTCAGTTACCATTTACCATCTGAACTGTTTCTTTCATCACTACTTCTTCAGTATTCATTTTTAGAGTAAATAGAGATGCTTTGAAATTTACACATACCTAAATGGTTCTGCTACTTAAAAGGATCTGGGCAGCCTGACTGGACATCGTTACATCTCCATCATCAGTATTAGTTAGATGGGGAAAAGCAATGTTTTACTAAATAACCTGATACTATTCCTGGTAAAGAGCATTGCTAATATACTTAAAATGAAAGGCTGTACCACGTGCCCCCTGCAACCAAGCTGAGACACTGCAACAGAAGGAAAGCATATCCTTTGACTTTGTCTGACAGATCGATCATACACCCAAATACAGCAATTTTAACTGCAGCTTCTCAAGCATGTTTTCCATAAGTAGAAACTCAGACCAGCAAAGATGAAGCCTGAGGACAGATAAAGTCTGCACACACCTGCAAAGATGATGGACCCAAGGCTGATGGGTGTTACCATGCTCGGGCACACAGATAAGGCTCTTCTGAAGGCATTCTAGGGCAACAGCAAATATGAACAGACAGCACGAGAAGCAGATCTCTTTCTACAAGCTCTGGGATTCAGTCAGTCCTAAATAAGAAATCAAGGCAAGGGCATCAAATTCAGATTACCTGATATCTGATAAGAGCAGAAGTCAGATTGGAGTCTCGCTGGTGAAGATCACTGTTAGCACAACACAAAAAGGCACCTTTACAACAATCAGAGGCAGGCTGTGCAGCAGGTAGGTATGCCCAAAGCAGCCTTCACTGTGAGCCATGGGACATTTTAAGTAGTAATGAGACCTGAGATCAGCTCAGGCATGTTTTCCTTATTTAGCATTTCTCCCATAGATGGGAGAATAAGAATTGTCCCATTGGCCACAGTTCATCAGATGTCTCTGTTAGGGACAGTCCTTCCAAGGCAGGCCACTCTAGTTTTTGTAGTCATTGCACACCAGTTGGATAATACCACGTATCAAAGGGGAATGGAAGAAAACCAGTTTTCCACGTGCATCCTCTCCTGGTATTGAGCTACTGGAGAAAGCAGTACAAGAAGCCTTTGGTCACTCCAAGTCCACAGGACATCAATGACAACACAACTGATGAACGGGTTTCAGAGGGGCTCAGAAGAGCACCCCAGCAGACAAAGCCTTGCCATCCACATGTATTCTTTGGCTTTAGAGAAGGAAAACACACTTGTTTTCAAGAGCATGTGTTCCAAGCATCTGAAGGGTAGAATATGTTGGAACATATGGCATATAGTTTCTCTCTCCATTCATAATCTGCAGCAAGACAGCAAAAATCAGTTCTACTAAGTACAGACTCCAGCTTTCATTTGAAAACATTTCCAGTGTGAAGTCCTTCCAGCAGGCCTACTTAGGCATCATCTAGACAGAATTACCAAAGTAGCTGGATGTTCTCATGGCGACGGATGGGCTGTGAGATGTGCCTACAGCAAGTCCATGCCATACAGTGCTAACACTCTCCTGCTTGCTACTTCCACTGCTGGGCTGCAGGTACAAACCATGGGATGGTGCTAGCAGTGTACTCTGCTTTTGTGCCACACTCATGACTGGTGTCTAACAGATGGAATAAAGCTCCTTCACTGCGCAGCACCGTCCAAACTTCACAAGAGACAAGAAAGCAGAGGCACACAGAAGGAAAACCAAGAGAAAATATGATTTCACCTGAGGACCACACACTATAGCAAGAAGTCACCCTAGGACAGTCACTCCTTTTTCAAGACTCGGTACCCATTTACTTTCACTATAATCACTTATTTGGTGAAAGGATTCTCCAAGTAATCCATGGGAAAACCTACAGTAACTGCAGCTGCCTCAAATACCTCCAAACAGGCCACGCTTTATCCTTCACCTGGAAGAGAATCTCATGCCCCAACAGCTCCAACATTTGAGATTCTCGTGATTTTCTGCTATGTGGTTGGTCTGGGTTGTCACTGGACGCAATTAGCTCCCCCCCAGGCACCCCCACACCCAGGGCACCCTGCTCTGACCTCGACTGCTCTGCACTGTGAGCAGCAGGAGGGGCTGGGTGCCACCAACACACTGTGCAGAATGCCAGACTGCACAGCGTGCGCAGCCTCCAGAGGGGTGAAGCATTTCACAGGATGGTTTATGGCATCATCTTTTTTTTCCCCCCCCTCCCACGTAGAATATGAATAACGTTAATGGTGACAGAGCCAACAGGCAATAAAAGGCCTTTGCAGGTATCAAACAGCTTCAAACTTTGCTTTGGCTCTCCGCCAGCTGCTGCAGCCAGCCAGCACTTCCTATTGGAGCCTAGGACCAGTGTCCAGCAAGTAATTACATGGCCCTGCTGGCTTCCAGAGAGATTGGCAGACAGGAAGCTGCATTTTGATTTCAAAGATGACAAAATGAAAGAGAGAAAACTGGTATTTTGTGCATATCTGCCACTGATTTGATACGCATCTACTGCGCAAGGAAATTCTTATTATTCTCATTATTAGCTGAGAAGGGTCAAAGCAAGTATTGGTTGGGAAGCCAGACAACAAGAACTGCTGCTTGGATCATTATCCCTTGTTGAAACAACACAAAAGGCCCAAACCAGGAGTGATGGCTCCTCTCTCAATACGATTTGAGAAAGAGTCCCAAAGAGAGCTTTAGTATTGCAAGAAATAAGCTGCAATTTGAAATACAAGCATTTTTCTGGGCGTCGTTTGTCTTGTACCACACTTAAGCATGCTTGGCCAGCTGGTAAGTGCTTACATCCCAAAGCTAGCAACAACCTCAATGTGTTTCACTGTTCCCCTGCTAGCCCATAATTTAACCAGGCAGGGCAACCAACTAGTCTCAGTACAACACAGAAATGGTCAATCAGGATGTTCCCTCATTATTCATAAGCAAGTTAACAAATCCATTTTAAGAAATACCCTTAAATAATAAGAACACAGTCAATCCAAAGCCCCGCCATTTCATTGGAGTCAGGTTAGCCTGTATGCTGAATACCTCCATTCATGTAATAAAGAAGCCCTTCCTTGATTTTCCTTTTCAACACAAGCACCAAGGCAAATTTTTCAACACCCACATTAGGTCGTATTATTCCTGCTCAGTCACAGAGGAAACAGGAGCACAAAGTTACAGCAGGTCAGCTGCAAAGGAGGGATTCAATCTCAGGAGCTCCCGATTCTGGGACAGTGCTATCGACAAAGAGGGAAAATATTTCCCCAAGGCTCAGTTCTTGGCACATCTGCCACATACCCTGCAAAATAAGAACCTTTAAGAAAAAAAACCTCCAACAACCAACAGACAAACATCTGTTTTCAAGAACATGCTGAGAGCTGGGAACAAGAGAACCTTTGCCTTTCCATCAAGTTTTGGTCAAACGAGCCAATTCCATTGACTTGTATTTCAAGTAGTAAGTAAAGACTTGAACAAGCACTTGCACACTAACATGCATAAAGCATACACACATATAATGCATATAGTTTTATATACCTAAAAGCAATGCACACAACTTAAGATATCGATAAAATATTATGGAATTTGACAATATTCAACAGTTGCAAAGGTTTCTACGCTTTTAAAGTGGGGATTGTAGCTCACAAGTCTTAAAGTTAACAGAACTGAACAGAACTGTCTTACACTGGACTTTTTTTTTTTTTTTTTTTAAGATAGAAACTGAACATCTGATCATCTGATGCATTTCAACATCTGCACCAGCTTCCTTTCCCCTGGTCTCCAAGGTACATTTGTTGCTTGTAAGTGTAACAGATAGAGAAGTCAGAGATCTGATCAGGGAAAGTTCAGCCATTGGTTCCAGCAACAGTCCTAGAGCAGCTTCAAATCTGATCACTGACTTCACAGCACCCACTGTTGTTACAGCAGAAACCCAAATATGCCCTGCACAGGATGCTATGCAGTCAGCTCTAGCAAGAAAGCCTACATGTCCAAGAGTTTAATCTGTGTCACAGTCAGCAAACATGGGTGAGGAAATAAAAAGGTGCATTATTGAATGTTCAACATAGAAAACAGGACTGAGCAGAAAACAGGAATCCTCAGTTGACACAACTTGATGATTTAATCCATGTAATCAAGCTCAAAGCTCTCCACTGCACAGCAGATCAGTTCGGACCTGCATTTTCCCACCACCACAATGAGAATCACCTTCTAATCAAGAAAGAAAATTCTTAATAAAGGAAAATTATTACCATCCTAAGTGTAAGGAGTCTGGCAGGCAACTTTCTCCTCAGTAGCTGATAAAATGATGTAAAAGTGAGTGCACACAAAGGAGGAGAGTGCCACTGAACCCTCACCACTCTGAGTCAAGGTGTTGACAAAGACGCTGATAAGGGAGTAGTTCTGATAGGAGAAAGGCCCTAAAGAGGCAACGGAAGGGTCTTGGAGAAAGATTTGGACGGCTGGGGGAACAGGAGCAGCAGGCAGAATAGCTGAACTGACGAGTTGAACCCAACAGCAGCGCTTCCAGCAGGGGAGGGACACGGGAAGCTGGCAGCAGAGCCCCAACCATTTGGGTAGCGAGACAAAAGGCAGATCTGAGATCTGCAGAGTGCAATTCAAGTGCAAATCCGGGGGCTCAAGTGCAATGAGTCCACATGTCAAGAGAAAAGGCCCATGGCTGCCTCAGTGCAGGTCAGCCACTGGTGAGCCATCACTCAACCCATCATTTGCACAGTTCATTAACAGTTAGAAAGCGACAAGGGCACTTCAATTACTTGAAAAGAGAAAGAATGACGGTGAGTTAGGCATTACATACACACGCAGTGCTTGAATAGGCTGAACAGTAAGCGGGGGGGAACAGAAGGATGATTTATTCACTCAAGTTACAGTTTGGAAACTGAGGCCTATAGAAGTTAAGCCACTCATCTGAAATTGCCCAGGAAGCCAGGGATTCTGCCCTATTTTGCCAACTCTCCAAGTAGAACTGTGTTCAATCTTCTCATAGGGCAGAAACGTATTCAAATTGCTTAATAACTTGGCTTGGGGAAAAGAGGCAAGGAAAGGGTTCTCGTTCTGAAAAAGTGGCCCTTCCATCAAGAACGGTCCTTTAGACTCTTGGTTCGCAGTGGAACAGATGAAAACACTAAACATAGGATTTCCATTCCTAAAACAGCCCTGCAGGACAAACCTGCAGCAGAAGCCACTGCTCTGATAGCGTTTACCTGTGCAATGCCACCATCTTGTGGTCTGCACAACCACAGCACCACCAGCATCTTCATTTCTTTGACAGCAAGCAAAGCTAATGAGTTTTCTTTCCTACTGAATGCTCTTTCGTTGCGTGCTTTTGAGGAAGATTTGCTTCAGTTTCACTCACAAACAAACTAAATATCTTTCCAGTAGGTAATGACATAACAGCATGTTGTTGTCACAGAGCTAATAACTGCCCTCATCACCATTAATGAACAGGACCACATTCACTTAAGGAACGTGACTCTGCTCCTCCCAGCCCCCAGTGCTGTTACTCTGATATAGGCTCCCTTCTCTGTCTTCTGAACCATGCTGTACTCCTACAGGTTTTCCCCTCTGAACTTTTTCCTTACAGCACCTCAGGGTCAAGCAGATTCCTGGGAGCTCTTTGGATGCTGCCATACACACTTGGTTTCCCAAGTAACACTCGATATAAATTGTATATTGATTTTGTATATCTGATATTGTCAGAGCTTGTATCTGCCCTGAGTACAAAGGCTGAACTATTCTGCCACTACTTTGCCTGGCACCACTGACAGCTTTGTCTGATCTCCAGGACAGCAGAAAGCTTCTGACCACATTGTGACACATAAAGAGGTCTACCTACATAGCATGGTCAATTTGGCACCAGTGGTAGGGTCAGGTAAACAGGACCACAGAAATTAACCCTCTACAGACTGAGAACACTGCACTGCACCCACTACCCAAGCAGCAACCCAAAGGAGCTCCCCACAATGAGGAATTACCACCTAGATTAAACTCAACTTCTGGTGCACAGACTGCATCAGGAACAACTTGTAGCAATAAACTGAGGATCAACAACCTTAGGTTCCACTAGCAAGTTATTCCATGGCCTGAAGCATGTCCACCTCCTCCTCCCTACCTGTCAAATCAGCATGCTGTGCCTTTGCAGCGTGACTGAAGATCCACAGGTGACAAGCAAAAATGAAAAGTGCATAGAAGAATTCTCATGTTTGGCCACAGTGGAAAAGCATGACTATTTCTTGGAAAAATTCAGCTCAGCTCCAAATAGGAAAAGTTTATCTGAAATTGCCATGAAGAAATAAAAATACTTTAGTTATCTGCTACTGATAGAATCAAGACATCCTGTATGACTTAAAGCCAGGCTGTGTTCCAGGATACCAGCACACAGCAGCATTCACAACAATTTTTCCCTACAGCGACCAACACAGAACAGGTTCAGGATAGCATTTGAGTCAAGAACACCCCTTCCAAAAACCCAGACATTGACAGTCTGCAGTGTCCTCCTCGGAGGCAGACTTACATCCTCCATTTGCATCACCAATACTTGCATGCTACCTTGCTGGCTTTGCATTTGATTTTACCAAGCAATTCTGCAGTTCATCTTCCATTTGCCAAATAATCACAGGCCCCAGAGAGTTTTACATCACAGTCAAACTCCTTCCAAAAATATCAGAAGCTGCCTTTTCTCTTTTTACCTCTCAGGCCCAAATGGAGCAGATGTGCGTGAGATAACAAAGGCTGTGATCTAAGGTCAAGGATGATGGAATGATTTATTACAGAATCAGCCATTTCAGAACTGCTCTTATTTTCTCCAAAGCCGATCAAGACAAGTTAGGATTTCTGGACTAAAAACATCTGCTTTGGAAGCGATGAAGATCAGCGCTGCAGCCATTCCTGTCTGCTTTCCCACTGAGATAAGCTCCAAGGTCTGATTTCCACTGGCATTTCAGCACCTATTCTCTCAAGTCTCTGCATGTTTCAGCCCTGTTAACATTCACAACATTAACAAACTGTATTTTAATCTAAGTGGCAAACACTGTAGTCTCTCACAGCCTCCACAATA